TTTGAGATGGTATCGCTCCATCATGCAGGCTGGAGTGCAGTGGTGCGATCTCAGGTCACTGCAACCTCCACCTCACCAGTTCAAGAGATTCTCCCTCAGCCTCCCTAGTAGCTGGGATTACAGGTGTGCACCACCACACCCAGCTAATTTTTGTATTTTTAGTAGAGACGGGGTTTTGCCGTGTTGGCCAGGCTGGTCGGGAACTCCTAACCTCAGGTGATCTGCCCACCACAGCCTCCCAAAGTGCTGGGATTACAGGTGTGAGCCACTACGCCCAGCCAATTATCTGACTTTATATGTGACATACCATTATGCAATATATCTTGTGCATTTTACATACAAAAATAAGAAAGAATTATTTACCTGGACCAAAATTTAGGACTATAGGTACTCAACAGCCACAGTGTTTTACAGTTTTATGTCTATAAAATAAGTTTCACAATAAAGACAAAATTCACAAGATAGAATTTGGGTTTCACACACACTGCAACACAGGTCAACTTTTGGTTATAACTACCAATGTTCTCAATGACTGAAACGCATTTTCTCCGAAATAGTAAAGTATTACATGTTTACTAGAGAAAACTAGGAAAACAGAAAAAACATACAAAATAAAGTTTAAATCATCAAAATACCATCACATAGACACTTTGTATAAACTTTTATCTTTCTTCAGGTTTTTTGTTTTTTGTTTTTTGTTTTTGAGACAGGGTCTCACTCTGCGACCCAGGCTGGAATACGGTAACACAATCTTGGCTCACTACAACCTCTGCCTCCCTGGCTCAAGCAATCCTCCCACCTCAGCCTCCCAAGTAGCTGGGACTACAGACGTGCACCACCAGGCCCAGTTAATTTTTATTTTTTTGTAGAGACAGAGTTTAAAATTCAGAATCTGAATTTTGATAAGCTCCCAAATGCCCAGATTGATCTTGAACTCCTGAGCTCAAGTGATCCACATGCCTCAGCCTCCCAAAGTGCTGGGATTATAGGCATGAGCCACTGCACCCAGACTTCCTTCAGATTTTTGCATCACAAGTATTTTAAAATTTGGAATAATTTTTGATATAATAGTTCTACATCAGATTGTCTCCCCTAGTTATATTCCTTTATCACCCTTAAAAGTTCTTTAAAAACAACAAATGGTTTTGAAAAACAACTATTAACAGTTTAACTCTACATTAATTTAGTACTAAATTTAATTGGGGGACAAAAACTATTTCTACATTATAGAATACACAATGCTCAGGTAGAAGAGAGAACATATATTGCCATATTCATATGTGACTCTGCATAGGGGCCAAATCTAGGTTATAACACTTTTTCCAGGTTTATTTTCAAACCAGTTCTAAAGATCAGAGGACAGAAAATACCACTAAAATACTTAGTAAAAAAAAACAGGTGATTCAAAATCAGGTGGTATAGAAAACAAAAAAGGGCATATTGGGAGAGTAATTTGCCCAGAAAGCAAATGAAAAAGAAAAGGGTTTCCCTTTGAATGGAGTATGCATCACCTGCCAAATTTGGATTCCTAAACTCTAAGATGGGCCAGAACACAAATGGGAACAGGTTGCCCATAGTCATTCTTCTTTGGTAGTAGGAGAAAAAAACAACCTCTTATTGCCACAAAAAAGAAGTAGCTCTTTCAACACTGTTATTCAACATAGTACTGGAAGTCCTAGCTAGAGCAATTAGACAAGAGAAAGAAATAAAGGGCATCCAAATTGGAAAGGAAGAATAACTCACAGTCCATTCAAGAAGTAAATTTTCTTCATTTCCTCCCTGATAATGAGCCTTCTACATAGACAAAGCCCCACCTTCATCCTCTGCTTTAAATTTTCTTTTTTTTTTTTTTTTTCCTGAGACAGGCTCTCACTCTGTCACCCAGGCTAGAATGCAGTGGTGTGATTACATCTCACTGCAGCCTCGACCTCCCAGGCTCAGGTGATCATCACACCTCAGCCTCCCGAGTAGCTGGGACCACAGACACATGCCACCACACCCAGCTGATTTTTATACTTTTGTAGAGTTTTTAAATACTTTTTGTAGAGGGGTTTTGCCATGCTGTACAGGCTGGTCTTGAACTCCTGGGCTCAGAATGATCCTCCCATCTTGGCCACCCAAAGTGCTGGTATTACAGGATGTACCACCACATTGAGCCTAAATTATCTTTTCCACATACCAAATGAACAAATTTATTAAAGGTGGATAAACGGTACAAATTATTATTATTACTGAGACAGGGTCTCACTCTGTCATTCAGGCTAAAGTCCAATGGCATGATCAATGGTCACTGCAACCTCAAAACCTCGACCTCCCTGGGCTCAAGCAATCCTCTTGCCTCAGTATCCTAAGTAGCTGGAGCTACAGGCGCACACCACCTGGCCTGGCTAACTTTTGCCTTTTTTTGTAGAGATAGGGCTTTGCCATGTTGCCCAGGTTACTCGCAAATTCTTACAGTCAAGCTATCTACCTGCCTTGACCTCCCAAAGTGCTAGTATTACAGGTGTGAGCCACAGCACCCAGACAATTTTAATATTTTATATGCCATGGTGCTTGTGCTCCTAATTCCTAAAGTAGTATCTTATTTATTACTTTACTATTTAATAGTTGTCATTTATGTTCATTTTATAATATATAGTGCATATACATATAGAGAGAGGACCTCTTGAACCCAGGAGTTCAAGACCAGCCTGAGCAACGTACTGAGACCCCATCTCTATAATGAAAAATAAAAATAAAAAAGTAAATTTTAAAAAACAGTAAGGAAAAAACTTTATTCAATCATAACAGGAAATAGATTTTAATCAAGAAATAAATAAATGGAAGCTAAAACTACTTACAGCAGCCTTGGTTTGAGAAAGTGCATCCCACGATGTGGTTATATCTGCTGGGAAGAAAATAATATTTACTATATCAATCAACCAGAAACTCTGAATTAGTCCCCGGAATCTGAATTTTAATAAGGTCCCAAATGCACTCAAAAGTCTGAAAACTAACTTATTAGGCAGAACAATTCCTCGGCAAATGCTTTATTATATTGAGTCAAAATGAGTTTTTATCTGTAAGATTATTAAGCCAACTTTCCCAACATATGGTTTAAACAGACACTGCTACCATTAGCCCTTAAGATATTTTCACTCACACCTGTATCACACAGCTCCAAAAATAAGCAGCATCCTCAGTTTACCCCAATGAGCTAAACAAATATAAAATTTTATATTATACTGTATTTTATAGTACAATGTAAAAATGATTAGAAAGCTACTCCAGATTTTGATCTACCTGTAAAAATATAGGTAAAATCCATTCAGTCTTTCAGATAACAACCCTTGAAATAGTTTAAGGTTCTGTATTTTCCATAAGTCATCCTTCTCCAGGATAAATATTTCCACTTCCTCCAAATACTTTTCATATGACTTAATTTCTAGATCTCTCACAACCTAATAATCTTCCTCCACATATACTCTAGTTTGTCAATTTCCCTAAAAAAAAAACACCTTAAAATTACCTATAATGTATTATTTTAAAAAGAATTCAATGAGAATGTTACTATTATTATCTGTACCCCTGTAAGTCTACAACTATAATGGGGCCATACCATTTATTGACATTAAACCAGAATTTCTGAAAAAATTTACATGTACTGGTTCATTTTAAAAAAGGATTCCTGCTTTATACAACAGTTTACCATAGGATGCCTTTTAACATGAGGTACCTTGTATATTTAAAATATAAGAGAATTTAAAAATTATGCACTTTTTATAAATCAAAGTATAGGTATAATTTTTATTTATTAGACCAAAATGTAATACACATGACCTAAATGAATATTAAGTTCAGTTTAAAAAAACAAAATCATACCTTGAACAGCATTCTTGCTTTGAGAGTTCCTTGGATTTGGTAAAGGCACCTCTTTTGATTTGCTGCTCCTCATCCTGCCAATTTACCTGCAATCACATCAGTATTCACTGAACATCAATCTTATAATATTATTTTTCCTTAGAAAAATAAATCATTAAAATTATATCATGAATACTTCACACCCATCAGGATATAAATAGGATAGGCTACTATCAAAAACACACAAAGTAGGTAACTGCTGGCAAAGATTTGCAAAACTAAAACCCACATGTGCCGCCAGTAGGAATGTATAATGGTACAGTCACTATGGAAAACAGCGTGGCAGTTCCTCAAAAAAGTAAAATTTGAATTACCATAAGATCCAGCAATTCCACTTCTAGATATATGATATGGTTTGGTTCTGTGTCCCCACCCAAATCTCACCCTGAATTGTAATCCCCATAATCCCCAAGTGTCAAGGGCAGGACCAGGTGTAAGTAATTGGATAATGGGAGCAGTTTCCCCTAGGCTGTTCTCATGATAATAAGTGAGTCTCATGAGATCTGATGGTTTTATAAGCATCTGGCATTTCCCCTGCTTGCACTCATTTTCTCTCCTGCCACCCTGTGAAGAGATGCCTTCTGCCATGACAGTAAGTTTCCTGAGGCCTCCCCAGCCATACAAAGCTGTGAATCAATTAAATATCTTTTCTTTATAAATTCCCCAGTCTTGCGCAATTTATAGCAGCATGAGAACAGACTAACATAGTATATAACAAAAAAACTGGTGGAGGCTCAAAGAACTATTTGTATAACCATGTTCAAAGCAGCATTATTCATAGTAGCTAACGTGCAAGTAGCCAAAGTGCCTAACAACAGATGAATGAATAAACAAAATGACATTAATATATATATTAGATTATTATTCAGCCTTAAAAGGAAGGAAATCTGATATATGCTACAACATGAAAGAATCTTGAGGACATTATACTAAGTGAAATAAGCCAACCACAAAAGGACAAATACTGTATGATTCCACTCATATAGATAGTCAGAATAGTCAAAATCATAGAGACAGAAAGTAGAATGGTGGTTGCCAGGGGCTGGGGAAAGAGATGAATGGGGGCTTATTGTTTAATGGGTTTCAGTTTTGCAAAATAAAGAAGTCTGGAAATGGATGGTGGTGATGGCTGTACAACAGTATGGAAGTATTTAACACCATTCAACTGTACACATAAAAAATGGTTGTAATGGTACATTTTATGTTATGTATATTTTACAATAAAAAAAGAAAGGAAAAAAATTCTATCACAACTCAAAGGAAAAGATCATGATCTGCTTATGGTTATACAGCTTAGTGATAAGCCATACTATATTTTCCTATGAATAGAAGGAAACTAGTCCCATAAAAATTACGTAACAACACGTAAAGTTTGATAAATATAAGAAGAAAAACTCATTCTTACTCCCAAAATCTAATACAACTATTAATAAATAACTTTATTACTATCATCACTGGAACTTCCATTTTTGTGCCCTGCTTTTACTTAACTGCTGGACATTTGTGGTGGTTTTAAAAAACATATCCAAAATTTCTTTGATACTCCTTTCTCCAAAATGTAGAAATTAATTCTTCTCCCATTGAGTAAGTTTGGACTTACAGACTTATTTTAAACTAATGTCACATGTGGTGAAAGTGACAATATGTGACTTCTGAGACTAGGCTATAAAACACATTCTCCTCTCTTTATATCTCAAGGATCCAGGTGTCATGTCCTAAAAACAATCAAGCAATCCTATAGAGGCCCATGTAGCAAAGAACTGAAGCTGCCTGCCTACAGCTATGCGGCTGAGCTATCTCTTGCAAGTAGATCCTCCAGCCCAAGTCGAATCTTCATATGACTGCAGCTCTGCCTGACATCCTGACTCCAACCTCATGAGAGACACTGAGCCAAAATCACCCAGGTAAGCTGCTTCCAAATTCCTTACATACAAAAAGTGTGAGGCCACAAATATTTGGTGTTTTAAACTGCTTGAATCGGGATAGGAGGTTATGAGTTATGCAACAACAGATAACTAAGACAATATTATGTCTCATTTTCTCTATTACAAATAACACTGAAATGAACATATTTGTATTTATTAATTTCTGCTTATTTGAATTATTTACCTAGAACAGGATCTGCAAAGTGTGTTAAAGCTGGACAAAAGAATGTGAAAAACATGATGCTCTTGAAATACAATGTCAAACTGTCTTCCAAGAACTACCCATTTCATAAATGTCTTATCTATCCTTTTAACGTTTGCTGGTTTAACAGAAAAAAAATGGATGCTTTAATTTGAATTTGGTAGATGCTAGCAGGATTAAACATTCTGCTCTATATCTTAACCTTAGTGCTTCATTTGTAAATTATCTTTTCTATCCTGTGCCCACTTACCTACCAGGATCTTAATGTTTTTCTTATCAAGTTGATGAGTTATTTGCCTTACAAATATATTAAAGCTGTCATATTTTTAAAACATTGTGTTCTCCAATTAGCAAAATGTCAGCAAAATGATATAATAATCATAAATCTATATGCATCCAACACCAGATATATAAAGCAAACAATATTAGTTCTAAAGGGTGAGAGAGATCCCCAAACAATAGTTGAGGACTTCAGTACTCTACCCTCAGCACTAGACAGATCATCCAGACAAGAAATCAATGAAGAAACATCAGTTCTAAACTGCACCACAGGCCAGGCATGACAGCTCATGCCTATAATCCCAGAACTTTGGGAGGCCAAGGCAGGTGGATCACCTGACGTCAGGAGTTTGAGACCAGCCTGGCCAACATGGCAAAACCCCGTCTCTACTAAAAAGAAAAAAAAAATTAGCCAGAAGTGGTGGCAGGCACCTGTAATCCCAGCTCTAGGGAGGCTAGGGCAGGAGAATCACTTCAACCAGGGAGGTAGAGATTGAAGTGAGCCAAGTGTCTCAAAAAAAAAAAAAAAAAATCCTGTACCACAGACCAAATGGACCTAACACACATTTACAGAATATTTCACCCAACAGATGCAGAATACACATTCTTTTCATCATTACATGAAATGTTCTCCAGGAATGACCGTATGTTAGGAAACAAAACGAGTCTTAAAATTTTTTTAAATCAAAATCATATCAAGTATCTTTTCTGACCACAATGGAATGAAACAAAAAATCACTAACAAAAATAACATGTGAAACTTTACAAATACATGGATATTAAACAATATCTAAGTTTATTGAGAGCTTTTATCTGAAGGGATGACAAAAATTCTCAACAAATTAAGTACAGAAGTGCATCAATATGCCGGGCGCGGTGGCTCAAGCCTGTAATCCCAGCACTTTGGGAGGCCAAGGTGGGTGGATCATGAGGTCAAGAGATCGAGACCATCCTGGTCTACATGGTGAAACCCTGTCTCTACTAAAAATACAAAAAATTAGCTGGGCATGGTGGCGCGTGCCTGTGATCCCAGCTACTCAGGAGGCTGGGGCAGGAGAATTGCCTGAACCCAGGAGGCGGAGGTTGCGGTGAGCCAAGATTGCGCCATTGCACTCCAGCCTGGGTAACAAGAGCGAAACTCCGTCTCAAAAAAAAAAAAAAAGAAGTGCATCAATATAATAAAGTCCATATAACACAAACCCACAGCTAACGATGGTTCTGAACAACTAATAGGTGAAGGAACAAATTAAGAAGAAAATTAAATAATTCTTTGAAACAAACAAAAATAGAAACACAACATAACAAAACCTATGGAACATAGCAAGAGCAGTATTAAGAGGCAAATTTATAGCAATAAATGCCTACATCAAAAAAGTAGAAAGATTTCAAATGAGCAACCTAATGATGCACCTCAAGAAAATAGAAAATCAAGAACAAACCAAGCCCAAAATTAGTAGAAGGAAAGAAATAATAAAGATCAGATCAGAAATCAATGAAATTGAGACAAAGATAATAATAGAAAAGATCAATGAAACAAAAGGTCAGTTTTTATAAAAGATAAAATTGACAGAGGCCGGGCGCGGTGGCTCATGCCTGTAATCCTAGCACTTTGGGAGGCCTAGGTGGGTGGATCACCTGAGGTCAGGAGTTCGAGGCCAGCCTGGCCATCATGGAGAACCCCCATCTTAAAAAACAAAACAAAACAGAATAGAATACAACAGAACAGAAAAGAATAGAATAAAACAGAATTGAACGGATAAAACTGACAAACCATTAATTAGCTAGACTAAGAAAAAAAAGACAAAACCAGAAGGAGACTTCACAACATCACAGAAAATGCAAAAGATCATTCGAGACTATTATGAACAATTATACACCAATACATTTAAAAACCCAGAGGAAACAGATAAATTCCTGGAAACATACACGTACCAAGATTAAACCAAAAAGAAAGAGAAACTCAGAAGCAAACAATAAAATGTCACAAGACTGAATCAGTATATACTTAGTTACCATATCATTTATACCTTGTTTCTCTATTAAGATATGTAAAATATGCCTCATACATAAAGATGTTTGTAAAAAAAATTTTTTTAAGATGCCTCTCTAATTTATTTCTTTCTTCCCCTTGTCTCTGTTCAAAGCATCATCTTTAGCTTAAGTTACGGTAAAGCTTCCTAAATTATCCTGCTCCTAAATCCATTCTCCATACCGCAATCAAAGTTATCTTTTTAAAACACAACCTAGCAATTTTGCTTTTATAACTCTTCAATGACTATCATTTATGGGACAGAGCTCTAAACTCCTTAGCATGATGGACACTTGGAGACCTTTACAACATTAATTTACAGTCTCACCTCTTTACTTTTTTTTAAAGCAAAACTGTAAAACTACTTTCCTGTCAAATAGGTATATCTAGAGTACATTCTCTAAATATCCAGAAAATTTCATTTTCTCCACATTGTCTTTTCCTAAATTTTCTCTGGCAGGAATACCCTTCAAAGTCAAACTCTAATGTCATAACCTATAAATCTTTCCCAAATTGACTCTTAACAGAATAGAATTAGTACTTCAATTAGTACTTCATCTATTTCCTCTAGTATTCTCTTCATTTTTTTCTTTTCTTTTTCTTTTTTCTTTT